TGTGGTTTGAGTCCTGGGCCCAGCTGAGTGAAGCAAGTCAGGCTATGAAAGAGAGACATTGCATGTCTACAGTTAACATATACCGACTGTTACTATACTATACTATACTAGACTTACTATAAACCTTTTAGGTCTCTGCACTCTATGGTAGAGACTGAAAGACTAGAGAACATAAAAGTATTAAAAATTATAATGGACACTAGAGACAAAATGGAAAGAGAGTGTGAGAGGGGAAGAGCATAGGAAATTTTGGGGGAAATGGAGAGGTAAGACACTCGTGGGACACAGATTAGGTTTATTATCTGTTGACAAGGATATGTATGGTGGTCTCAACTGGGCTGGACTGAGGTGTATATCATGCTGGGTAAAGTCTCTTCACAATCTAAATAATGTATAGTTATTTAATGTATGAATAATAATAAAATAAAATTTAAAAAAAGAAGGGACAGAGAAACAAGAGGGAGAAAGACATTTGCCTATCTGACTAGCACTGGGGTCTGGAGGGAGGATCCCTGGTTAGGGGTGCTTCACAACCATGAAGCTGAACACAGAGGGCCAGTAGAGTCAGAAATGGAGGTGCCTGGATGCTTTCTGTCTTAGATGAGGGAAGAAGAGACGAATTAACAAGAGAAAAGCAAAATGGGGCAGAAAGTTGTTTTTTAAAAGAGAAAAAAAATGTTAGAGGGACAGAGAAACAAGTGGGAGAGAGACACTTGCCTCCCTGAGTAGCACATGGGTCTGGAGAGGGGAGCCCTGGCTGGGGCAGGGGGTTTTCACAGCCGTGAAGCTGAACCCATAGGGACAGCTTAGTCAGAGATGGAGGTACCTGGACACTTTCTGTCCTAGGTGAGGGAAGAAGAGACAAATTAGCAAAAGAAAGGCATGAATGGGGGCAGAAAGCTGTTTTTTAAAAGAAGAAAAAAGGTTAGAAGGGACAGAGGAGAATGAGAGAGAGAGAGAGAGACACTTGCCTACCTGACTAGCTCTTGGGTTCTGGAATGGGGTCCCTGGCTGGGGGCTCTTCACATATGTGAAGCTGAATGTAGAGGGACAGCAGAGGCAGAGATGGAGTTGCCTGCACAATTTCTGTCCTAACTAGTCTTGGGGTTTGAAGGAGGGGTCCCTGGCTGGGGGCTCTTCACATATGTGAAGCTGAATGTAGAGGGACAGCAGAGGCAGAGATGGAGTTGCCTGCACAATTTCTGTCCTAACTAGTCTTGGGGTTTGAAGGAGGGGTCCCTGGCTGGAGAGGCTCCACAGCCGTGAAGGTGAACACAGAGGAACAACAGAGTCAGAGATGGAGGTTCCTCAAGCTATTTGTCTTTTTATTGAGTTTTTTGGTTTTTGGATTTTTTTTTTTTTTTGCCATAGGGCGTGTACACTCACCAGTAAGAGACAGACAGAGAGAGAGACAGTGAGAGATGAAAAATGAGAAATCATTCCCCAGGGTTATAGCCACACTGCAAACCCTTCTTTTCCATTCTCCTCTTAGGATTTTGGGCACACTTGCACATGCACCCAGCGTGCTTTTCAAGCCACCAGTTCTGAAACTCATACTGTAGATTCAGCCCCACTACCTGCTGGTCCTTGACTGAATTTTTACGTATTGTTTGTTATATATTCTAAGTACAAGTCCTTCGTTAAACATATGATTTGGGGGACCAGCAGTTAGCTTAATGGCTATGTCGCTGGACTCCCATGTAGTCGACCGTGGTTCACGTCCTGGAACGGGTGGCTTAAAACTCACATTGGGTGTGTGTGCGTGTGTGCCCTAGATCCCGAGAGGAGAATGGAGGAGAAGGGACTGCGGCGTGGTCAACACCCCAGGGGGTGATTTCTCACTTTCTGTCTCTCTGTCTCTCTCAGTCTGTCTGGGTAGTGCATGCACCCTATAGCAAAAACCTCTAAAAAAAAACACATATGATTTGGAATAATTTTTTTCCAGCCTATGAATTGTCTTTTCATTTCTTCAATCATATCCTTTTAAGCATAAATGTTTTACATTTTTATGAAGTCTAATTTATCTTTTTTTTTTTTTAACTTGTTTTTTGGGTCTGATATCTAAGAAACCAGGCCAAATCTAGTGTCAAGAATATTTACCCTTTTTAGCTAAAATGTAAATTTTGGCTAAATTTAAGAACATTTAGGCCCTTTATCCATTTTGAGTTAAGTTTTTAATATATGAGGTTAGGGTTCAACTTTATTCTGTTTTCCCTTTTATGAAATAATTTATCGATGGGAGCTTAACACATTTCTTTTTTTTTTAACAGAGATCAGTGTCATTGAAGGATGTAACTGTAGACTTCAGTCATGAGGAGTGGCAGCAACTGGACCTTGCTCAGAGAATCCTTTACTGGGATGTGATGCTAGAAAACTATTTCAACTTGATCTCAGTGGGTAAGGATGGCTCTTTTGGGTATTTAATAGGCTGGACCTGCTTGAGTATATTTTATTGTTCAGTAGAAGTGAAATCCGTGGGTTTTCTCAGCTATGTAGGACTTCTAAATACTGCAGGACCTGTGGTGTGTAATAGTTTAGTCATTATTTTGTCCCATGTTCTTAATACTTTGAGTATCATGAATATACCTCTGTTTCCAGTAAACTTTTCTGGAAAGCAAATGGAATGCTTCATTTTTATGGCCTCTGATACAACATCCTCTGCTATTTCCTGCTAATAGGATGTCATGTTCCCAAACTACAAGTCATCTTCAACTTGGAGCAAGGACAAGAGTCATGTGTATTGGATGGTAGCATTTTAGCAAATCAGAGCTGTCCAGGTGAGCAGAGAACCAAGAATGTGGCATACCCTGAGACTGAAATGAAGCCATGCTGAGAGAGGCTGGCAGCATGGACATGCTACTGTATGAGTTCTGATACAGCTGAACTTTTAGAAATGCTTGGGCAGAGTTGATATTGGCCCCTTGGATGTCTAAATGCCTGCCCCATTTAAGACTTATTTTTATGCCAGTGACTGCTTTGCTTGACATTCTTGGAAGAAATGTGCTCTAAGAACCATACTTTTGATCATAGCCACCCCTCCCCCATCACCGAGGATCCTGCTTTCTTGCCTTTTTTCCTCTCTCTTTATCTAGAGAATTATAATTTTTTCTACCTCCACCAATATCTTAGATCCTTTTCTTTTGTATTCAAATACTCATAGATCTGCCTTTATTTATTTATTTATTTAGAGAGATTTTTGCTATAAGGTGTGTGTATTCACTGGAGAGACAGAAAGACAGAAACAGAAGAATCATTCCCCATGGGGGATGACCACACCACAATCCCTTCTCCTCCATTCTCCTCTTGGGATTTTAGGCACACATGCACATGCACCCGGTGTGTTTTAAGCTGCCAAATCCAAGACTCAAACTGCAGAAAACTATGTGGGAGTCCAGCGACATAACCATGACACCATCTGCAGGATCCTATTAATTTATTTTACATTCAATCACTGTGTATCATTACAGCATATCAAATGCACTTTCATGATGGCATGAATACCCTGTATATTGATTCAGTCAAAGATATTACCATACACATTGTAATCATAATATTTCTTTCTGTTTTGGGTCCCTTAAATGGTATAAAAGCAGGGAGAGCAATGGTGATACTGGAGATAGTGCAAGAGGAGGGTGAAAAATAGATCTACCTTCTTTAAAAATTGCTATGGGTTGCAATTTTCCTTCTGGTTTCTTTTTATTTGCTGTCATTTCCCTTGGAACCTGTCAATCACCATCTAAAGGCAGACTTATTTTATAATCTCCCTGTGCCCCTCCTCTCTCTGGACATGCCTCTCTGGATGAAGGCATTTTAGCAAGTTGGAGCTGTCTAGGTGACCAGGGAACCAAGCTTGAGAGACCTCTTCTTTTTTGCTTGAATAGTGCAACACAGCACTGGTTTGACCTTTTATTTATGTAGACTTTTTGGTACCTGTGAGCAAGAGATTAAACTATTTATTTATTTATTTATTTATTTATTTATTTAAATTTGATAGTGGGCATATAAGCTAGCTGGAGAAAGATAGGGACAGAGAAGAAAAGTGAGAAAGCATCTTCCATGGGAGATGGTCATGCCAAAGTTCCTTCTCTTCTATTGCTCCTTCTGGGATTTGGGGCATGCTCTCACACACACACAC